AACACAAAGGCGATTTTTTTTGAAGCGATATTTTTTGTAAAAGGTGCTGCTCTTACCCGCGGGGTTTTGAAGCGTTTTGCCTGCGCGCGATGAGTGACTTTATCGAGTTCATCACCGATACGATCGAATGCAGATGCTACCGCTGGAGGTTTCTTGGATGGTCTATCCGTGCCTGCTACATCTGATTCAGATGAATTATCTTGCGTGGCTTTGCGACTGGAACTGAGAATTGCCCCAGGTGGATTACGCGCAGTTTGGTGCTGCTCCTGAGGCACAGATCCTACATCGTCCTCATCTGCTGCCATACGTAACTGGCGTCGAGTGCGCAGTCCACGAGATCGGGCCGGCGAAACGTCAGAATCACTGCCTTCATCGGCATCGCCAGATAATTTCGACTGTAACATTTCAAATAGAACAGAACGATTTTTTGAAATAGGGAGGGGAGTGGAAGAGAAAAAAATATTAAGAAATTATTTTAATAAACCATTCTGATATTATTTTAATATTAAGAAATTGTAGAAAAAAATTAAAAATTAAAAATTAAGAAATTTTAAAATTATTTTAAAAACCACATAAGGAAAAGTCGAATTTTCAACCTCAACTAAGACAAACACTAAAATGTACCTCTTGCATACAGGGAAATATGATATCAGAAAGAACAAAAAAACAAAAGTACTCCGCGGATAGGGAGGGCGGGGGGGAGGGGGGAGGGAGGCAAAACGACCAAAAGTTATGCAAAATTATGTTACACTTTCAATGCAGTCAAACTCCCTTCGATAAAATGAATGAATACTCAAAAGTAGATCGAGTGACAGCACTTTGGCAACAGCAATCATAAACAGATGGTGCTTTTTTCATGAACAGTCTCAGTTGACAATTCGGGAACCAGAAAAGCTGGAAAGCTAAAATTTTAACGGAATGCTTCCATGTACCACGTAGTTTCACAATCAACTTCCTGAACTTCGAGGACCAGTATGTCACAAATTCTAGCTACTGGGATTTCAAGCGACAGCACGCCCAAGATGATCTGACTCATTAGCATACAATGCAAGACATTTCAGTCCCAAGTTCCCGCTAAAACAAATCACATAGTTCAGCTAAATTTGGTTTTCCTAATGCCCCACCACTGAATGAGAAATAACCTATTACATCTTGGCCCTCATCCAATCTAAGGAACTGGGAAAATTAAGTCCCCGTGAAAGTAAAGTACGACCTCGTGAAAGTTTTTTACGGGTAAATTAATATCTCGGGAACCACGAAGTCTAGGAAGAGTCTCGACGTTTCACCCTAGCCATTAGCTTAAAATTTCATCCATTCGGCATATTTTTTTTAACAAAAATAAGCTGAGGCGACAGAAGTAACGAAAAGTAGCGCTAACTTCAGCTGAAAGGAAAGGGCTAAACTTCATTGCCGAGGAAATTAATCCACAACGATTCGCCGATTTATTTCAAAAGTAAAGATTTTTTACAAGCAAATACTTATGAAGCAGCCATCGGCCTGCTTTTAAGCAATCCTTGGAACAAAAAGTCATCTAAAACCCTGCCAACGGTGGTACCATGATGGCTATTTTCGAGAACCACCCAAGTCATTGGGAATTTCGAGGAGGGGG